AGATATGGAATGTGTAGCAGTAATTAAGATATTACTACTTTGATCCTTAATATAAGACTTAATTGACTAATTTGTGGAGGTTAAAAAAATTAGTTAAATTATTTATTTATAACAAATACGTATTGTCTTTTCTAAAATACCTTTGTTAATCATATATATTAGTTAGAACTACTATTTAATGAAACATTTAATATATGTAATTACTATAAAGACTATTTTAGGAAAAAAAAAAGATAAACATGAAAACAAAATAAATTAGGTTCTTATATTTATGATTAAATTAAAAACTAAACAAGATCTTATATTAAACATCAGAACTAATATTTAGTAGATTAGTTTGATAGACAAAGATATATAGGTTGAGAGAGTGAAATGGCAAAGAGTTGATTGGGGGGTAGTATCATTAGGTGGCGGCAGGATCACGTGGGGGCTCAGCCAGTCAGCCTACACGTTGGTGGTTTCTAGTTTTAAGACGTCATAAGATCTACTCAGACCCACCACCTCATCATCTACCCCTTATTTCTCTACCACTATTCTACATCACACACATATGCTTGCCATTTCCCCTCAGTTATAATTTCAATGTTCACTGCTTTACATCTATATATATATATATATATAAAATTTATTTCAAGTTGTACTGTTCATAATAGTTATTATAAATATTGTGGCTTGCTTTAAATATAGATTCATGATTTAGTTTGGCGCCGGCGTACTTAGACAGTTATATAGTTTGCTTTAAATATTATATTACGCACATAGTTATGTTTGGAATATATATCTGAGATGGACAATTATATTTCAAAAACTATAATGCAGTCTCTGATATATATTTATATATATATATATAGGAGTTTCGTAGAGTTTGGGAGAAAAATCCTTAATCTGGCCGAGTTCGTGTTACTTCTTATATATTTTGAATGGCAAAAACCTGTTTTCCCTTTTATGTAGTCACCAAAAAGCTCAATAATATAACCTGGATGAATTATTATACTCACCCCATGATGAATTTGGGTGGTGCGTATCTTAAAAATCAATTTTATCTTTAACCATAACAAAACTAGTTTTTTTTTTTGGGCACATTATGCGGTTGACAATTTAATTCAGTTGAAACACAATCAAATAATGGAAATACTGATGAGATTTTTCTAATGAATCGGCTCAGCAATAATATGATGTTTGTCGCATTCACTTTTACCAACATATTCTTGAAATTAAAGTACTTTCTGTGGTGAATTTTTTTTTTTTGGTATTGAATTAACGGTCACTCATAAAACGTAAGTGATAGCCTGAAAGGGATGAGATGAACTGCGGTTATATGTAGAGGTTTAAGGTTCAAAACATCTGGATATGTATATGGGGAAAAATTATCAATGTTAAGTTTGTCATAAAGATCAAAATGTAGATTTTTTTTGCCCAGGGAAATCAAAATATATATTTGAATATATAACATGAAACATGTTTAATAGATGACCACACCCCTGTGAGACAAACTTGTTTTTATGGACCCTAGTAATTAACATAGAGCTTAATAAATAATAAAAAATCAACTATAGAATCATTCTAATGACTTAGGGGGTGTTTGGATACCGTTAGAAGTGTTTTTTAAAAGTATTTTTTTTCGTAAATTGAGATAATTTTCTCTACATATTTACTTCGCATATCGTAAAATCACTTTTAAAACTATGGTTTGATTTTAATCTAAACACCCTCTCAGATAGAGAGACATATAATGGGACGATATTGCGCTTTGTTTAGAACAACTTTAGAATGTAATACGTACCCCAAAAAAGAGATGAGCCTTTGTATATGGTTTGTTTGGTCATTAAAGGGTATTTTAGCTTTTTCAACTATTCTAATTAACAACATTTGGTCTCATGAGAGCCTATTTGGTTGGATTACATGAAAAAAGATTATATGTAATCCTAACGCAATCCAACATTATTTTCAATGTTTGGTTAGTCTAAGGTAATAATGTAACAGGTATCGCATAATAGCATCATAATTCCCTTAAATTCAGTGATATGGATTGTATTAATTAAAAAACCCATGTAATCCCCATTACCACTGCCCTGAATCTGTTCTTGACTTTTCTATCCCTCATCCTCACCATCGCGTGGCCACATCCTTTGAACTATATCAGCAGCAATCTTCACCCGTGTTCTTCTCCTGTCCACTAACAGCCACCATCGGAGTCACCACATCATTCAAACTATAACCATGACCCCGAGCACCTTGCGTGCTCCTCATCCATGAAGAGTTCACTCAAATCTGAAGGCCACGATTGCCATTCCCAGTCCAAAACCACAAGGTGTAAAATGAAGGCCGTGAAGAGTTTGCTCAAACCTGAACTTTGAAGACCCATAATGATGAGGTGGACAATAAGCGTGCTTCTTGTTGACTCGTATTCCAAATCTAAAGCCACGGGGGGGAAATGTTCTTGAACCTGAATCAAATTTGTATTTGGTTCATTGTTTCCTTCTCCAAATCTAAAGCGCGGCTATTGCTATCTTGTGATGCCGACGGCGGACAATGGGAGGAAGCCGTTGACAGTGAACAAAGGGAGGAGGGCGATAGGCAGAGTTACATTACATGCCATTTCCTTCTATTACATTACATGCCATTATGGCAAATTTAGTGAGCCAAACGGGTTATAATTTATTTTTTTGGCTTAATGATGTCACAAGTTATTAGGCAGTGTAGTGATATTACTCTCAAACCAAAAAAAAAAGAAGAGTTAAATACACCGATCATTTTTCTATTTCATTTTAATTACAAAAACCTCCTATCTATTTTTAAAAACGTACATAAATCTTTCTTATAATTAAAATATATGTTACACAAACCTTCATCTTACATTTAAGATTCAAGTTTCATCCCCTCAAACTGCGGTCAGCAGACCATTCAATTTGACTTTAAATTATTTTTTCAATCAAAATACCCATTTTTTATAAAACAAAAAAATAATTCTAATACATATATTTTAAAATTTCTAATATGTTATAAAATTTATTGACTTTGATCTAAATCATAAAATTTTATAATTTTAATATTTTATCATATATATTAGAAATTATTTACTTTGATTTCTTTTAACTTGTAAAAGCATATTTTAAATATATAATTTTTGTTTATCATAAAGTTTAAATGTTATAAGTCTGAAAGATTTTGTGAATTATTTAAATTTATAATTCAAAATTTTAAAAAAATCTTTGTTACAAAAATTTATAAACATATTTAGTCAAAGTACATATATATATTTATTGAAAAAATTATTTAAATTTTTATCAAGTTTTTTATATTTGCCTTAACTGAATAAAATTCATGTAACTGTAAAAATATAATTTAAAAATTTATTAGAATGATAGGTAAAATAGTAAATAAAATTTATTTTAATATAAATTTTAGTGAAAAATAATATTTTTAAAATCTTGTTAGAATATTTCTAATATTGTTAACTAATTAGACTAAACTATATGTTTCTAATATAAAAAAGATATTTGTGTAATTAACACAATCTAGAAGCATAATCACGCAATGCTGTGCGACAGTTAATTATGTGGTGTGGGCCTACGTGCATAGCGCGCTCTTATTTTTATGAAAGCTTACTTTATTTATTTATTTGTTTTAACGCAATGAACGATATTGCAACTTTTATTTTGCTGCTTTTAAGTTTGGAGGAACTATTTCACCACTTAATAGTTTAAAATACCTATTTTTTCACATCGTTTAAGGATAAACATAGTTTTTAACATCATATGAAATATCGATGTGATATAAAAATTTATTTTAAATGAACAATACATTAAAATAATCAATTGTTCGAATTTGATTGGAATAACATAATATGTTAAATTAGTTTGAATACATTAAAATCGATAATTTTATTCAACATAACTGAATTTAATTGCCAACAACATCATATTAATTTTTTGGGTTAAGGTGCGCCCAACACCCCAAACTATTTATCCAGGTGCATCCAGTGGCTTAAAGTAATTTTGGGTGCATTCAGTGTCCTAAACTAATTAAAATGGTGCGTTCATATCCCAGGCTAACAGAAATGTTATGTTTAATCGTTAATTTCCTGACTCAGTTTAAAGTTGACCCCAGATATTCTAAATGGTAGACATATGGGCACCCGATGTGTATTATTCTTACTCAAAATTGAATTTATTTCCTTCCTCTTCTTCTAAATAAATTGACTTTTGAGTAAGAATAATACACATCGGGTGCCCATGTGTCTACCATGTAGAATATCTGGGGTCAACTTTAAGTTGAGTCAGGAAAGTAACGGTTAAACATAACATTTATGTTAGCCTAGGATATGGACGCATCATTCTAATTAGTTTAGGACACTGGATGTACCCAAAATTACTTTAGGCCACTGGACACACCTGGGTAAATAGTTCGGGGTGCTGGGTGCACCCCTTAACCCTAATTTTTTCCCTCCAATGACATAATCTATGATAACCAAAAGAAATAAATTAGGTGAGTTGTTCTCATCAAAAACTCATAGCCTATGGCAACATATACATCTTACATATTTTCAATTTTTCATTGCTCATTTCCAAAAGCTACTTACACAGATGGGGGGAGTGGAAAATGAAATAAAAATGTTAAGTTAGCGATGTGTCATTTTATTTTGTCTAAATTTTTTACTTGATTTTGGATATGCCAAAATAAGTATTCAAATCTACTAATTTAGTTTGTTGATGCTTGATATAACTCTAATCCTGCTAAAAAACTAGGTCTTAATTATAAGATTTTATTTGTAATCCTAATTATAAAATCTTGTTTGTAGTTTGCAAACGAGATTTTATAATTAAGATCAGAGCTAGTATATCATAATGTTTTTTTATAATTTTTCTTTAATTAATAAGCATGAATTTCAATGAAGTTTGGGAGAAAACAAGAAAGAATAAAAAAATATAAGTTGAACGACGAACATGATGAATAGTGAAATGAATGGTGAGTATGAAAAATGAAGGCCAGAAGAGACTCCATCACCAACAATGAGGGCGAATCAGTGAATGGATAATGGTGAAGCTACTGCCTTGATTAGTACTCTTTACCCACTGTTCAGCCATTTTGCACTGGGCGAGGAAACAAAATGACGGGGAGAACTGTTAGCTGGTGGACTCATTCCAAAACCGTGACTTTGATCTGGCTCCTCTCTGCATTCTTATTCTTCTGCTTGTTTCGAATGGCTATACTCAATTCTTCACACGCCGTAGTACCATCTTCTTTAGGTAATTACTTCTTCCTCTTGTTTAATTCTCAACCCCCCCCCCCCCAAAAAAAACTATATTGAAGCTTGAAGGGTGGAAAACAATAAATTCTTGCTAACAAATCCATATAACTTTAGTGAAAATGCAATAATTCAGATGGAGAATTGATTTTCTATCTTTGATTTGACAATTTAGCCGACTAGGAACTGGTCGGGTGTATTTTTTTGGTCGATGCGTAATTCCCAGCGAGGCGGATCATAGCCTCCTACCATTAGCTAGCACTGAAGATATAACTGATGGGGTCTTGAAGTAATTGTTTCCTGTTTCAGCAGGGTTTCTCTGAATTTCTCTGTTATAAAGTATCAATTAATATCGTGAATCTGTTTCCTCAAGCCGAACCCCACCCCACTGAAGAAATCCTTGCATCCTCTTCCGCTTTTCAACAAGAAAACCCAGCATTTTGAATCCACATCTTATTAGTAAATCGCTTGTCTTTTATGTGACTTAAGCAGATTATATTTTTACTACCTAGAGTATCATAAAGAAGCTTTGAGTGCATAAGGGTGCCAATTCCTCAACTTGCTATTTAGTTCTTACGAAAGGTTAGAATTTTCAAAATTATGGCTTTCCTCATCTTGCTAATCACCATACAAGTTATCAGCAGAAATTTCCTATGGAGCGTCTTTTAATTAATTCCCTTGGATGCTGGCCTTATGGTTTAGACCCGGTGGGTCAAGGTAGGAATCACAAGCCCTTAACCATTAGGCCAATCCCTTGACGTTAAAAAAGGTTTTTAAAATCTAATTTTGATTTTGGTAGACAATTTGTGTGTACGCATATATGCATGTATGTGCTTATTAGTCCCAAGAGGGGCATAGAGTGTGAGTTAATAATGTTTGGAAGGGCCTGGATCAGATCCGAAAATTTCAAACTCGGAAAGAAGATCCAAATTATATGAAAATATGGAAAGAGATCTGGATGAGCATGGAGCTGTTTTCCTAAAGCGTGGTAAAACCTCCCAGTCATTGTCTCTTTCTGATCTCTTTATGCTAAAGGATGGATCAGTAACACCAGTGCTAAAGGTAATGTGAAGTAACTGAACATGTTAATTCATTTATACTTTGACTAGCAGTTAATGGCTACTTCCTGTGTGCAGCCTGCAAATCCTCCTGTAAGAGCTAATGTTTTGTATTTGAGCACTGAATTCTCAAATCCCATATCGTAAGTACCGGAACTTTCTCCCTCTCCCTCCCCTTCCCTCCCTCCTTTTACTCTAGGTACAGAACTAATAATCATTATTATACATCTTCGTTAATTTGTGACATATTTGCCCTGTACATACACCGTTTGGAATTGGATGATCATATTTTGATACCCTAGTCATTGTCTATTGTGCCGCCTTCTTTATCTGATATGAGTTGCATCACCCAGTCAGCTCATTACACTTGTGCAAAGCAGATCAGACAATCAGGATGCATATGATAGTAGTAATATTCATGGGAGTAAGAGTTAGAGTTCTCTAGAAACTTCTAGTTGGTGCATCATTAAGCAGAGAGAACACCTTATCGAGCCCTCATGAAGGAAAAACCAAAAGATTCTGACAAATATATTTCAAAATGGATACTTCAGATGCCCCTGTTTGTGCCAAACAAATGTATTTCAAAATGGACCCTTGAGAGTCAGAGATGACCCTGTTTAAGATTATCACAGTATCCTCACCATTTGCAAGTCCTTCATTATTTTTTGTCTTCTATTTTCAACCTTTCACTTCTGGCTTACAATGCACAGGAAGGCTGTAAAGAATATTTTCCACCCATACTTTGATAAAGGTAAGCTATATTTGGATTAAATAACAGATTCTAGTTCATTCATCAGCAGTTATTTTTAAATCACTTGAATAGCTTCAACTTCCCCCCATATTTTGTTTCAATTCATTGGCATTCTTTCACATGTGTCGGTTAGCAATCTGGTTTCAGAACTCTAGCATGTACCACTTCAGCATGTTTCATGCCTCGCACCACATTGCACCTGTACCTGCCACCAAAGAGGAGGTAAACTTTCAATGGACATTTTTGCTTTTACTTGGCAACGCATTGATCTAACATGAGCGTAATTTATTTTCAGATAGATGCTGAAGCAGCCTCTGTGCAAGCCGTTGCTCAGACATTCCGTCCTTTGAATATTGTATTAGATAGGGTGGTTCTGACTTCAACAGGAGTGCTTTTGGGTTGTTGGCAGGTTAGTTTCTATAATCTGAATCCTCTCTTATCTTTTTTCTTTACTCTCAGCCCATCCACAAAAGGGATGATTTGCACAATTCATATGCATGATTCCTTGATGCTTTCTTCTCATCTTTTCTCTCCCAGTAAAAAATAATAATTGTGAAGTTTGACCAAGAGAACATTAAGAACTTAAGAAGTATTTGACCCTAAGTGAGGTCTCTGTCTTTTTCCCCTCAGTGAATGCCAAGAGTATCCGCCCATCCAAAATTGGATGTAACACTAATTTGTTTTGGGTTGAGAGGGCAACAGTAAAACTTTCCCGAATTTAGTGTCTCTAGAAACTGAACCATGGCCATTTCCTGAAGTCCAACCTGCCACTACTATTCAAACAGTCAGTATGTTTACGATCTATGAACTTTTATTCTTTGACTCGTTCTGATTTTAAGGTTTAATGGCAGAAATTTTTGGCATTGTTGTTTTCACCATGAGAAGGAAATATCAAACGCTTATCTGTTAGCCACTCTTACTGGCCAAACCTTCTTGTTGAATTAGTGATCAATTCTTTTGTTTTTCCCCTAAATAAAGACGATGGATATCAAAAAACTTACTTTAATCTGTTTTATGAAAAATCTGAAACCATATCTATATATCTTTTAGGATATCAGACCGCATTTCACGACACCGCACTAATTATGTGTGCTTATCATGCAGGTCACTTCTGGGACAGATCCCATAGCTATTCGCGCTAAGTTGAGAAATGTGCTTCCACGTGCACCAGAGAAACAACTTGTGAGAACCAAAACAATATGAAATAAATATTCTGTTTTAAGCAAATTTATTCGTATTCAGCTGAAGCTTCAGCACCTTGTAACATTTCAAAATTTTAATAGAATCTTTTCTATCGCCATGCACAAAAATTTAGCATCTTGTGGGGAATGAAGTTGGGACATGGCCTTGTTTGGCATGACCTGAAATGTCCTCCCTTTGGCTCTATTAACCTGAGATTTTCTCTTTAGAGTTCAGCAAGTTCTAACTGATCTATCTGTTACAAACTCTGCGATTCTTACAAGTCCGCAAGACAATTTTATTGTGCACTTGTGCTTTCTTATATTTAGGTCCCCATTTGTTTACTCACTCTCCATTTAAATGTCTTTCCCATTTACTGCGTCCTGTTTTCAAGATAAGAAGCAAAATGCTTAACAGTTAGATTCTTGGGCCCATCATTGTACTATGTTATATTGTTCAACTACTATATGATATACTACCTCCGAAAAGCTAGTTGACTAATTCGAGTAGATTAAGAAAATTAGTTAAGTTAGTTGTTTGTAATAAATAGGTGTTGTCTTTCTTAAAATACCCTTGCTAATTAAGTGTATTAGCTAGAACTATCATTTGATGAAACATTTAACATGTGCTACTACTACAAGAGTTACCTTAGAAAAAATAGATAAATATGAGAGATAAAAGGAATTTGGATCTTATATTTAGGACCAAATTGAAAGTCGAACTAGTTTTTATATTAAGGACTAAGGGTAGTTAGACATTTGATTGGTTTATGCTGGGTGGTATCTCAATTTAATTTGTGAACTTAATCTGACAATACTACTTATGCCACTGACTTTTCTTAGCTTTTTGGTTCTGGCTGATCTAGTATCATCCTTTCTGCAGTATGATGCTGCTATTCTTCACACGTCTTTTGCAAGGCTTTTGGGTCGACCTAAAGCGTTGCCTATGGTAGTATGCATCTTCAGTCTTCCTTTAAAAATCGTTACTATGTATTTAGCTGATTTTCATATTCTCCAATTGCATTTGCCACTGTCCTGAAAATTTACTTTTGTCTGTCTTCTGTGGCAAGGGGAAAGATTACATCTTTAGAATGCTTATTAGAGGTGAACAGAATACAAAGTCTTACTGATATTACTTTGCTTAAGTGCACATGCAAGTGTGGTTAAATTGCACTGTATGATAGTATAATGTTCTATTGTTTTGTGATATATGCATGGGCAGACTCTAATTGGTAATATATCTGAGGAATGGTAAAGCGTCAACTGGTGTTTAAATAAAGACTAAACCAAATGAAAAAGAAAGAAAATGAAGGGCAGTTTAAGCATTCCTTTGAATTTCGACATTGAAATTTGATATTGTGGTGAATCACCTTTTATGGAGTTCCAATTTTTAATTGTTAGTTAATGATAGTTCTGCATTTTATTTTCCCCGTGTTGTTTAAATTCCAAAATATACCCCTGCTTTCTTGCCTGAGAAATGAAAAGTATGTTTTTTTAATCCCTTTTTTCAGCTCACCACTTAATTGCCTCTCAATTTTTGTTGCGCATAGGAGCTGCATACAACCTCAGAAGAACTCCAATTCTTCCATGAGCTAGTTAATCGACTCAACACAGACCTCCATGGGTTCAAGGTTTGTGGTCATATCATTTCTAGGGCAATAAGTTTTAGAATTGCAAAAAAGTCAGCATCAAAGCGTCTGGTTGGTAGAGTGAAGCTTTCTTCCCAATTCATCAGATCAAGTGCATAGTAGCCTGTCATCTGTCATTTTTAACTATATGCATTTTAGTACTGTTTTGTTGTTATGCTTTTCTATAGACTCATTTTACGTTTTAGTCATTGGAAAGTGTCACTGATATGAATTTTGTTCCTGAAAAGAAAATATTCTATAATTAAGTCCTCAGTTTCTTTTATTTTGGTTCAGCTTGGGCCTAATTATTTCCCCACAAAAGGACCAAGTTCTCTCCAAAATGAAGAAAACTAAGGATTCAACTGAACTTGATTGGTGTCGATGAAGGAGGGAGATTTGGTCTCCTTCCTTGTTCTTCAATATTTCTTATATTTTTTAATCATTAATTGATAATTTTCATATTTTTCTATTGTTTTTTAAAGCATGAACATGTCAGTCATTTTATATCTTCATTATCTGTTTTCCTTCTGGTTTCATTTTCGGTTCTGTTCGCAATTCTGAGTACCAAATGGATTTGGCGTGCAAAACTCTAACCGGTGATAATTTTCATTCACTAGTAAATTGTGAATTTAGTTTCTTTGTTCCCCCTAAATTTTATCTGACCTTCATTTGACATGCTGATGCATTGCCTGCAACCATATGAGCAGGCAACGGTGTCTGAACTCTGGTACGTTGAGGAACATGACTTGCTTGCCCTTGCACTGAATGGAAGAATGAGCGTTCGCAGGTTCAAGCTTGGCTGCTCAAGAACATGAAGTTGAACATAGACATAGATGCTTGTGAATAAAACTTAATATTACTTGATGCAATGAAGGTTCTGGTATATGCGTAATGACGAGTGATTGCCCACAAAAGGAAAGAATGAAAACATACCCACTTTTTTGACGGTTGGGGAAAAAAAACTTTTAGTTGTTGGGTTTATTATTGAGTAAAGTGTTTAACTTTTTGTGACTGGTGACTGGTATAAAGTCGTAATAATTTTTTTTTTCGGGCTTTTGACTTTTAATTTTTCTTTAAATTTGAATTTTTTACAACTGACTTTGAAAATATTATGACGGAGTGCAAAAGCTGGAATATTAAAAATGCAAAGACGAATGTGTTGTATACCATGCCATGATGGATGATCTTGGCTACCATCTCTGAAGATCAACTTGATAGATCCAAGAGAATGTGAAAGATGACGCTTCTGACAAATTTGGGGTCCTGCTTAGATTGCCAAATATCCTACTTCACCGTACGTTGTTGTGAACCAAAGGATCCAGGGGCCATCAATGCCCACTTTTTTTTTTGTTTTTTTGTTTTTGCCGGGCATCAATGCCCACTTGTTGTTTTGCCTTCTGCCACTATGCGTTCACGATGTTCCATTTTCTTTGGGCTTGAAACAGATTGCCCAATAATTGAAGAGGGGAAATTCCTAAGATAAATCACAAAATAATCAAAATTTTTCTTATCAGAATCAAGGTTTGAATCATCGTTGAGAGAGTTACTGACATTTAGTGTTTAAAAGTATGGCGAGTAGAATTACCTTCAGTGAGAGAATGCCTTGTCAAAAAAAAAAAAATCTCTTATCATGTGAGCCTCAGCCAAGGTCATTTGTTTGATTGCAGCGGCTTGATTTGTGGGAGGCACGCGCTTTGGAAATGTTAAGGACCGTAAAGCAAAGGCGTCGGGGCCCACCTGTGACGGCTACCCTTCTCGTCACGCCCTTCACTGTGGATGCCACACGCTTTTCTCTTTCTTTATTCCGTTTTATACATTTTTGTCCCCAAGCGCCCTCGTCTTTTTCTATTTCCCCTATCCTCCCCTTGGTGCCGACGACCAGCGGTTTGCCTCTGTCTCTGATGGCAGTGGAGGGCTGACATGGACAAATGAATCAGAGCTGACCTCAACGTGTTCCTTTGTGGCTTGCCACGTCATCATCAGAAGGGGATGGGACTAGCTCGTTCCTACTAAATCCTAACCACTGGGCAGCATATTTAAAAAAAAAAAATGCTCACATACTTTTAACGTACCGTGTCACGTGGCGTTTGTTTAATCTGACGTGTTGTCATCCCCTCGGTCTGGTTTCCACCCCATTTACGGCACTCCCAAATTATTTTAATAGTGTGTGTGTGAGTGACGGCTGAAAAGTGCTTCTTCTATTCCTCTTCTTCCTTGATCCGTGTCAAAGGTCAGATCAATTGCTCAAACTCCCACCCTCCTATGAAGATTGAAGAAGTGCGTGGGTCCGCCATTTTCTCGCTTTAGCTTTCTACCCAACAAATTTAGTTTCATGCTTTTTTAATTAAAAATAATAATTAGCTAACGAATTGGAAAAGAGGTCACAACTCGCTAAATTAAGTAATAAGTAAATGCAACGTTGCATGTTTCTATTAGTAAATACACAAGTGACATGGTATATTGAGAATATGCAAGAATTTTTTTCAACTCTCAATCATATTCAAAAATAGGGAACCCAGCGATGGATTTGAAAATTAAGGTGAAGTACATGAGTCGTAAAGATTTTTTTTTTTTTGTCATTAGTAAAGCGGGTGGAGAGTGGAGACTCTAATATTCTTTAAAAATACTATCTCATTTTCTAATTATAAGAGCTTATTTGTAATTTATAATAAGATCTTATAATTAGGATACAAGATAATATATGTATATATATTCATATACTCTTTCGGTTCTAAATATAAGATCCTTATACACAACACACTAGTAAAAAAGTCTTATACTACCTCCGGTCTTTAATATAAGACCCTATTTGACTTTTATTTTGGTCCTAAATATAAAACCTTAATCCACTTTGTCTCTCATATTTATGTATTTTTTCCCAATATAGTCATTCTAATAATTGTAGTTCTAGCCAATATAGTTGATTAGTAAGGATATTTTAGAAAAAACAACACTTATTAAGTATAAATAACTAACTTAATTTTTTTTCTTAATCTCCTCAAATTAATTAATTAGATCTTATAATTAGGATCGGAGGTAGTATTTAGGATTAGAAAAGTATTTAGTTAAACAATAAATAGAAAGATATAAAAAGGAGCATGACTAGTGCGGCAGGGGAGAGAGAGGAGTGATGAGGTGGGCGGGTGAGGATAGAGTGGGCGCCAGAGAAGGGAAAAGGGAGAACAGGCGAAGATCACGTGGAAGACTTCTTGAGAGTGCTTCGTCCCACCAAAATGGCATGGGCTCGCCACGCGCGTTCCTGTGACAGGTCCTTTCCCGCCACGCTCTCTCTCCTCCGCGCCGCCTCCTTCCTCGTCCACCCTTTACAAAAGTACAGAATATCCCTCCCTCTAACTCTCTCGCCTCTCGCCCTAATTCCCAACCAACACCATACTGTTCTATCCCCTGCCTTACCTTGAATTTTATCCTCACTCTAATTCCGTGTTTTTCTTTTTCACCTTCCCTTCTCAACCCCGTCTGTTCGGCTTTAAGGAGGTAAGAGCTCTTCTCTGCTTACGTGTTCTTCTGATTGCTTTCAAAGTGATTTATTGTCTTTTGAGTTTGATCCATTGAATTTCTGTGTGCCCCCTTTCGTTTCTTGCTGGTAGACTTCCATTGAGTAAGTGGTCTTTGGGAATGAAATCTGGGGAATTGGTTTGATTCTCTCCTGCGTGAATTAATTAGAGGAGAAATGAGGAATTCGATTTGCTGTTGCTGGCATCTTGGCGGTAGAAAATACGGTGGTTTTCTTTTTATTTTTCTTTACATGATTCAATTTCCTTTACCTTTCTTCGGCATCTCACAGCGTTAGGATCTCAATGAGTTGAGTGTTACAGACTTGCAGCTAACAATACTGCCAGACTAGTTACAAATTCGTTATGCATTAATTGGATTTGTTAGTTTACCAATTACAGTCGATCATGTGACTTATATCGATGGACAGGGGGACCGTGAGGAGGCGTCAGAGTGGAGGCAGATAGAGTGCTCTGCCTCTGCCTCCAGACTAATCTTAATAACTGATAGTTTGGTTTCCTTGTTGCAGAGCCTCCTGAACTACTGGGGTTTTGCCTATTATATGTTCAATGCCACTGACAATCTCACACCATATTGATGTGGATTTTTATTTTGTGTCTACTTTTAGGAATTTGTGTTGTACTGGAAGAATTGTGTGAAGGCATCTCTGGTTTTTGTTACTTCTTTATGGGATCAGAAGCTCCCGCTATGGCAGCCGAGGAAGTCAATATGTTAGAAGGAACATCAAAAACCAGGTCTGTCATTCTAATGCGTGGACATTTGGTTTTTACTGTCAGTTGATATGCCTTCCAAGTCCATAGTAGCCTAAAATAATCTATACATTGACGTTCCCAAAACAAAAAAAAGAAAAAGAAAAAAAAGAAATCTATACATTGAAAATTATAATGTAAAGAGATTTTGTTGGCTACTTTCTTTCTAGCGCATCATTCGATCCATTTGTTTCCAAAGCATACTTGTTTACCCATTATACTAAATTAGTCTGCTCTAAATATGTTTTTCAAGCCAGGAATTCTTTGAATTGGTTTCAAGGCTTTTGATGTAATGGCTTAATTGTGTTACAGACTAATACAAGAATAAGCTTAACTAGTTTTGAGTTTTTGATTGTCTTAGGTATTTTTGTTAGTTGTAGTTTATGGTCCACAAGTATATATTTAAGTTTAAATTACTTGAAAATAGTTGTAATTGTGGCAATACATGTCGTAGTGGCTCAACACCATCAACTTAGATTGAGCATTTGGTGCAAGTTCTGTATTGATCTTCTGAAATCCTTGTGTGCTGCAGTTCTTGTCCTGGTAAAAAGAACCAAGGGAAAATTCCCAAAAGAATTCACAAGGCTGAAAGGGAGAAAATGAAGCGTGAGCATCTGAATGATCTCTTTGTCGATCTTGCCAATGCTCTTGGTAATTACTTGAGCCACAATCTCATTTTTGAGCTTTGCTTAAATGATGCTGCCTGACCCCTCTCTTGAGAGATCTCCAAATTACATTTTGAAAATCTATACTCCCTTTTCTTGAAATAACAGCCCCACACACCCTAAATAATATCATTCTTGAAGGTGCTCTTGCGGTATTTTAGCTTTAGGGGATTTGTGAATGTATTCATACTGGGAGAGGGGGCTGTGTAATTTAAGTATGAACTGTCCTTCTATTTCCTATACTTTTGGTTTTTACTTTATAGATTAAGTTACTTCCATCATGTTACTAGATATGATATTAGTTTTGCCATTTTCCCCCCTGCTAACTACCTTATTTTTTGGGATGGGTTGGGTTGAACAGAACTAGGTCAGCAAAACAATGGAAAGGCGTCCATATTGTGTGAAGCCACTAAGCTGCTAAGGGACCTGCTCGGTCAGATTGAGGCCCTTAAGAAGGAGAATGTGTCTCTGCTGTCTGAATCACATTACGTAAGCACTTATCGCACTTGTTACTCCTGTCCTTTGAATTTATGTAATTGAGAATCTAATCTTTCCGCTAGCTTCTGCTTGTCAACTTTGCAGCATACTTTGAAAACTGATAATTAGATTTTAGATGTCAAAAGTTATCTGCATTTTAGTAACAAGTTTTTCATGCATTTGCTTTCATTGAGCAGGTTACCATGGAGAAGAATGAGCTGCAGGAGGAAAATTCTGATCTAGAAACACAAATAGAGAAACTTCAAGGCGAGATAGAAGCACGAGTAGCACAATCTAAACCTGACCTAAATGCACCTCCTCCAACAGAAGAACTTGAGCCACCAGAGCAAACAATTTTTCCTAGAGAGTGTCTCCAATTGCCTACCGTTGATCCTACATTGCAACGAGGACCCGCGGTAGTAGTTGTCCCCTTTCGTCCCCAGCTTCAACCTTCTTTTCCCACCCCAAACATCACTGAGCTCACTTCAAACTCCATTGTTAGTAAACCTCATGCCAGGTATCCAACCCCTGCAGACTCATGGCCATCGCAGTTGCTTGGAGAGCAGCCAACATCAAGCTAAGAGAAGTTGAACGTGCAGAGTTTTATTTTCACTGGGTGTTGGCTGCACCTGTAGAGTTAGTTCATTTCCAAATCAGCAACCACATTCGTACATAGACTGTTAATTAGATGTGTCTCTAGATCTGTGTCACTCACTCATTTCTTTAATGATGGAATTAACTTTCGACTCGAGCTTTTGGTCCTGTCCCTAGTGGCTGCTTGAGGCGGAATTATTTCTTAAAAAAGGAGGCATAAGTGAAGAACCTTGTTACGGGCAATTCGAATCTTCTAAAGTTATAGAAGTAATTACATATGATTAAAAAAAATGCTTTAATCAAATGATGGGGTTAAATCATAATTGTGTAAATCTGATAGAGCCTTTGTAATGGAGACGCGTCCCAACTCCCACCAAGTCCGTCATAGTAAAGGCTACGTCCTATCTTTATCTTTACTCCCTAGCAATTATATATTTAAATAAAAGAAACATTTTCTAATACAAATTGCACTACAAAATAAATTTTATATTTAGAATTTTTATATTCCACATCAATTAGGACATACCCCGAAACTGAGAACAATAATTTAATGGGCATGGGATCGGAATAAAACTACAGTGCTTGTGTTGGGTGATGATATAATTTCAAAAACTATTATATTATATTGTAAGAAATAGAAGTGATAGATCATAGAAAATACGTACACACATATATATAAGCGATGATTTTAAGAAGTATAAATAGTGCTTTATTTCTAAATTTATTGAAATAAATTTTAATTTTAATTTCTTGAAAAAAAAAAAAGAAGAGTACCATCAATTCTATAAAAACTTTTGTGTCTTCTAAAAAATCAATCGGAAGAAAAATCAAAGTAAAACTGTAAAAGAGACCCAACACCGGCAGCTCGCAAATTCCGGAAAGGAACGAGGTTCAAAAATAAGGTTGGTGTAAAAGATTCTGTGCTTGAGGCCCAAAGTGGTCCTGCGCTGGGATCAAGGAATCAACGCCTAAGACTCAAAAGCATATAATCTGAACCCGAACTCTAGCAATGCACAGTATGATTGGAAATTGGAGCCTACACTCGGATGCACTGACACTCTAACTCTAACACCCACAGGCCACGCTGGTTTTCTCCCAGGTAAGGTACACAGAGCACCTTTTTCTCTCTCTCTCTCTCTGTTCTCTTCGGTCTGATCGAAACCCACAAGCTACAGATCCCCCTTGAGAAATCACGGTGTGGAAATGGGGTCTGGAGCCAGAAATTTCCTTAGGGTGCTTCTCAGCAACTTCGATGTTCTTGCTGGGTAATGTCTTTTCTCTTTCTACGAGTTAGTGGCTTTACAAGTTTAGCTGATTTTGCCTGCAGCCATTTGGATTTTCTTTTTTTGTTTTTATTCAATGCCATTGTTATTTCATACTGACTAGTAACATATCTTTCGGATTTCTTGTCCAGCCCCTTGATCAGTCTCGTCTATCCTCTGTAAGTGCAATGTTTACTTCTTTTTTTTTCCTTCTTCAGAAGACGTTATTTTAACTAGCCTGCGGCACTTGGAAACTGAATTTAATATTATGTCTTGTGGGATTCTTTTGCTCAATCACAGATATGCCTCAATTAAGGCAATTGAGAGCAAGTCTCCTGTGGATGACCAGCAATGGCTCACTTACTGGATTCTCTATTCCATGATCACCCTATTTGAGCTTACTTTTTATAAAGTTCTTGAATGGTAATCAAGTATCTTACCCATTGCTATGAATCATTTTTTTTTATCTTTTGTATGTTCTGCTTGTTAAACTGGAGATACTCTTGATTTTATCCCCAGCATAATCTTTTGAGGGTTGCCGGCAACGTAGTTAATCTTTGAACCATTTTCCATTGTCTATTAGAAATATTTTTCCAGTCATGGGTGAAGTGCAGTAGTCACATGCTGTTTTCTGTTAAATCTTTTTGGATTAGCCCCTAAAACTTGCACATATTTTGTATCCATTTGGATGCGTACATCGTATTGATGTATTTTATGGAAACTAATGAACCCAGTACAAATTTTATTTTAGTTGTCTAACGATTGGCTTGCAGACAAGGCATCCTTTCTTTTCCATTGTGATTTTAGTTTTCAATAGTGCTGTCATAAGTATACAAACATGAAGGTTTTGAGAATAAAAGATTGGAAAGATGGAGGTATTACCATCATGGAAGGCTTGATGGATCTGCATCAATGTGAGAATATTAGAGGGTAATCCTACCAGGAGGGATCTTTTTTATAATCAGGTTTATCCTAAGATTCTCTCTCTAATTTCCTAAATCATAATGTGAGAATCGATAAATACATCTGGGAATGAGAAAGCTCATCCTTTTCAGAGGTAAATCTTTCCATATAATTACCCAAGTATATAATGTAGGTCATAGACCAACTTTGATCGCTTTGGATGATTACTGGCATAAGATATTTAGAGGAAATGATACTAGACTACAATAAAAATTCTCAACCTTTTATTGCAGGATACCTATCTGGTCATACGCAAAGCTGATATTAACCTGCTGGTTGGTCCTCCCCTACTTTAATGGTGCTGCCTATGTTTACGAGCATTATGTGAGACCCTTGTTTGTCAATCCTCAGACTATAGTAAATATCTGGTACGTGCCAAGAAAAAAGGACTTCTTCAGTAAGCCAGATGACATTCTAACTGCTGCAGAGAGGTACATTCAAGAGCATGGAACAGAAGCATTTGAAAATATGATCAACAGGGTATTTCCAATTTGTAATGCTTTAATATTGCAGATATATGTACTTTGTTATTAATTCTTCATGACATTAATGCCCGGCCATGCCCCTGTTATGTAGGCTGATAAATCAAGGAGGAGGAATGATGGCTATACAGCGTATGATGATCACAGTTATGGATACTGAGTATTGTTTCTTCAATCATGTAAAATGCAGTATTGTAGCATGTCTTGGATGATAGGATGGGTTTCATGGACATGTTCGCTCGGTTCTTTTACTTTGTTTTCTTCTTGTCGTTGGAGATAGTTGATTTTTCCCCGTGTCCTCGCTTGTCTTGTATGGTATTCGATAGTATGTAATTATCCCAGGCTTGGTCATGCGTTTGAACTTCCATGGTCGTGACACCAAGGTACATAGATAATGGAGGTACAAAAGCAGCTGTGTTGATATTATTCATAGTTGGCTCGCATCCCCCTCCCCCCTCTTTCTCTATCTCTCTCCCCCTCTTCCCCCATTTTAGCGATTCAAGCATATTGATTCACCAAAAGCACAGTTCAGGACCTCAAGCTGAAGCTAAGCCTGGATGAAAGGGTTCTTTCTGCTCAAGAGGTGCTCGTTTGAGGGATCCAATCTTGCAATGTGAAATAGTTAAAGGAGGCTTGTAAACTTACTGGTGTCCAGCGGTTGGCGACAATGACTTCATGTATGGAATTTTACCGAAGAAGATGATGAAATTTTTGTGGATCTGGCGAATATCGTTGATTTTGAGTTGTTATGCTTTAATTCATGAGATCAGCATTGATTCTTGAGTTTGTTAACAAATTTCTTAAATGGTTTTGTTTGCTTCTGTATACCATGATTTTGTGCTTCCAGATGCTTTTGTTGGAAATCCGTGCATTGATTCCGTGCTTTCCAGAATGGATTTCTGGTCAATTGTGTGGATTGGTCTCGGGAACGTCTAAATTTTTTGATTTCTGGATACAGTCGACGTGTCTTTGATTGCTTACTCTTCTTATCTCTGAAGCCTTTTTCGTGCTTCCACGTAGCTCTGCCTTTGTTTCATGGGAGAATTACAATACAACAACAATAAAGCCTTACCTTACTAGATGGGGCCGGCTATATGAATCGCATGTTATTGAGTTCTATTCAAAATTAAATTTTTGGATTACACTAAGGTTTTAAAAATTAATTATAGAACAAGTTTCAGAAGTTATTATTTTTTATTTTGAAACTTTTCATTACAAACTGTTGAAATTGTTATTAAAATTTTTTAGTAATTTTTTTTTAGGAGTTCATTGTAATTTTTCCTTGTTTCATTTGAGGAAGAACAGCTGTGTTGAACTCGTGGTTCTTAGCTGGCTGCAATCATGCTCCCATCCCTTGCTGCTTTTAAAAAGGTCAAACATCAGGACTAGTCACAGTGAACGAGGGTCATTAAATTAGCTTCTTCTTCTTCTTTTTTTCAAATGTAAATTTGTTTTGAAAATTTTTACTAAGAAATTATATTATTTTGAAAGGTTTTTTGAAATCAAATGGGAGGTCTAATCACAGTTGACGAAAGGTTATTAAATTAGCTGTTTTTAATTATGATATAAATTTGTTCTAAAAATTTTCAATAAAAAATAATATTGATTTCAATGTTACTCTAGAAGTGTTAATATAAGTCCTGTTTAGTACGAAATATTAAAAATGAGAGGTAAAATTTAAAATTGAGATTGAGAAATATGATATTCTCCAATCTCACCTCCATGAGTTTGTCTAATCTCATGTAACGAGCAATTACTCGTGTTAAATAATTTTTTAATAATTTTTCTCAATTACAATATCAATTCTTAGTTCTTATTTTAAATGCTTCATATCATAGGTTATCATAGAGTAATGTTGCCTCTTATCCTTAAAAGTATCAACAAGATAGGGTAATGCTATTACGTTTTGAAATTTTTGGAATGATATTAAACTCAAAAAATTTGGCAATATTGCTCTTGAGCGATAATATATGGGTTTGCGTCTTAACCCCCCTTTTTTTCTGGGGGCGGGGGGAACGGAATTTATTTGGGCAGAAGTAATAAATCATATAGCATATAATAAGTAATTTTTTTTTTGGGAAATTTGGTTAAAAATGCTTGTTTAAAATTTTAATTAGCTAAAAACATTTAAATTTAAACGAATACATCTATGATTCATGAGTATAACTTTTCTTCTATTGTGTGTAATATATTTTTTACTGTATGTAAATAACTTTCATATTGATGATTGTTGCACATCATTGATACTGATACTATATTTCATACAACAGAAGAAGAAAAAAACTTCTACTTACAAATCATAGTTACATTCACTTAAATTTAGATCATTTTAAACAATAAAGTTTTTGAAGACGAACTTTTAACTAAATTTCCCTCAGAATCTTAGGATATTCACCGATCAAACCCACTACGTCCCTTTATATAAAAACATTTTATGTCAAAGAGCTACAACATACCAGGCATAATAAGCAACTGATGTTTTGTATTGAGCGAAAGGTCGAAGGGCTGTTGCCACTTGCCAGGTTGATTTGATGAATTCAAAAGGAACGGATAATAGAGAGGAATTCCTTAATACGTAGAAAACAGGTTATATTTATAAAATTTTTATTGTATCTTTCTTATTACTATCAATTTATTTTTTTATTTTTATTTGATAATATGAAGTCTTTTCATTTATGAATTAATATTTGATTGAAAAAGGCGGGGGAATCTTCCCTCTCATCCGTGACTATTGTTATTAATTTACTGCCATTATCTTTTTGTAAGACCAAGAATTTTTTTTTTTGGGGCCAGATTGTAAGATCAAGAATATTCTTTACTAATTAGATATTGACTGTTTTTGAGTAGTGAACAAAAAAACCTTCTTACCATTTATATCAACCATACACTAATGTCAATTCTAATACTCAGTCACTTCTCTTCAATATTTTTACTGTCCTTGTTCCAAAACTCCAATGGTAAAGAAGGGCACGAATCAGAGGTACATGCTATTATGTGTAAATCTCAATTGATTCTATTGTGGAAAACAGTAAAACTCCATCCCCCACATAATTCCCAGCTCAAACGAACGGAATATTCCAGTCTTCGCAGATCTACTAATATGCCAACGTTGATCTCATAAATTAAAATAACTGACAAAATACAATACAGTAACCATGTTATTCGAGACATAAAAAACCACTCAGAACACTGGGATTACAGAGGACCTACAAAACGATACTCCCAAGTCCCAACTATGGCTATAAGCCTATAACCACTTCCACTTCTCAAACTGCAGTTGCCAGAAAGTTCTTACAATCTTATTCAGTAGAAGAAAAGGATGGTGATAACAACTTAGCTGGAACGAACAGTTATTGCTTGCTTTGTCATTATCCATCCAGCTCCTTCAAGGGTAACAAAAGCACCCTTCGATAACCACGAGAAGGATCAGCGGCATCATGTCACTGAAAACAGCAGTAGGCATGTTAAACGGCATCAGGATAAGCTATTTCTCCAAGATGATCAAGTTTCCGGGTCGGCTTCAGCTTCTGCTTGTTCTTCAGCATCATTAATATTCAAGTTTTGGTTAAGATAATCCTGCGCTTCTTCTAATGCTGATTCTTTTTCATCAGCAGCATACAAAATCTTCTTTATTGCGACAGACATCTGCAAATGGAACATATGAACAATAGCTTACACTTATAACTCGTCCGAGAATCTGGTTTATTTTGTAAGCAAACTATGTATAGGTAAAAAGCACTTAACGCGTTGATAATGAGCTTGAGATTATTTGGATCAACAACATGCGTTTGGGAATTAAAAGTTTGTAAAATTTATACATGCAACGTGGTCCAAATTTACAGAATCTAGTACCATGGCAGACATGCATTTTGATTTTTGAGGGAGGCGGACAACCCAACGTGCAACAAGCAGAAAAGAAAAGTTATTTGAGATTTTCAGACTCTACAAGGTATCTTAGACAAGAATTAATAGTTGGAGAATTTGAGGGCTACGGCTGACCACAATTCATCCAATCTGCTACATGATAACCATGTGGGAAAAAACTACTTAAAAATACAGATGATAGAAAAGCATTAGCTAGAAGCCTAGAAGATGGGAATGACATATGACGGGCTAAAAGAAAATAAGAGATAAATCTTATCACTGAAAATGCAAGGGGAAAAAAGATAGAAGCAATGCAAGCCTTCATGAGAACTCTTACAGGGAGATTCTCTAGTGCTGGAGTCTGGCAAAGAATTTCTATATCCCTCAATTTTGCAAAGTAGAAGTCCCTTTCTTTTTCCAGGAGATCCACAGAAAGTTTGAGATCAGTAACCTGTGAAACAGAAGAATAGAGAACTAAACAATGAATAAAGTAAGAAGGTAGACGGGTTTTTCCAATTAAAATTTGAGCAACAAACTATCAAAGGAAGTGCTAATATAGAACATATAAATTTTGGTTGAGTGAAGTTTTGGAACCAAGCAGCAATACGCAAAAGGAGAATCAACTATTATGCAGCCATTTCCTAGGTATAGAATGACAAATATAGAGGCCCTAATGTTCGTACCTCCTTTGACAAAGCCTGAATCTCTGCTGAAGAAGCTGCTTCACTTGACTGAAACTGTTTGGACCCTGTACTCAAAGAATGAGCCAAATAGAAGTGACCAGAAAATGAGAGAATTAAAAAAACTAGTAACATGGTAAAGCTAATAGGAAAATTGCAGTCAGACTTGGGAGATGCTAATAAGCCAACCAGAAGTTCTATTAGAATTGAATGCATTGCTTGAAGCAGGATTATTCATGATGTTTGTCTGCAGTGATTTTGTGTTCCTCACAGAGCTCCTAGTCCGGTCTTTTCCACCTTTGTTCCTCCGCTCCACAGGATTATAGTTCCTGCAAGAATGGACAAGATTTGACACAAACAGACAGTAAAATATGAGTACCTTAAATGCATGTCGCAGTATCATTTGTCTAAATATACAAAGGTGTATTAAACGATGAAAAGGATGCTAGAGCAAGTAGCATACTCATTCACAATGCCACCATTCACAGAATCACAGTGGCGTTTCAGCCATTGCAAGAACTCCAAGTTGTCCAAAGGTCGTCCTTTAACAAGCCTGTTAACTTCAATATGCTGTGAGAAGGTAGTAATGTTAGAACAATAAAAGGAAGCACAAGTTATAATTATGCCATAGTACTTTCATAGCAGTCTTTGATGTATGCAATTTTGTCTTTAAGATATTGCCATAAATCATGAGGATTATTCACGTGATGGCATAGAACCCATGCAACCAACAACATAAATAAAAGCATATTTCAGGATAAAAACATAAATAAGAAAAAAACAGGTATCAATAAATAAGGGGAAAAAAAAAGGAGAGATCTGAATCTGGAATGGAATTATGCCATTCAGCATACCCAGATAAAAGCATATTCGAGCATCCATACTAACAGCTGATATGAAAGAAAAAATTAAGTTTATGGAAAAAAAGATAAAACTTTATTGATGGTAAATCATTCTATTGAAACCTCAATAAAGAAATTATGATTACCATGATGTCATACTGGAATGAAAGACACTGAACAGATATCACAACCAAAAGTTATCATAAGCCGGCTACCAAGCAATATTTCTCACTTTCCATATTTCTTAATTCATGGAGAGTAAAGTACTTCTCTCAACATTTTATTATATCTCAATCGAGTCCAAACTAAATAGAGTACTAGCTGGAATGACAATGTTCTTGGAATGGGAGACAGAGACCCTCCCCCCCCCAAAAAAAAAAAAAAGCGCACACACACACACAAGGTGAGACGCAACAGATAATTCCAGGAAGAACTATAGCTCCTTAGCGTACAAATTACAAATGGAATTACCTTGTCAATTTTCAGCTTGTTGAGTGTTTCCTGCAGAATTTTGTAATTCTGTATCATATCATACTCTGTTTTTGCATCAAAATTCACCTGGAATAAATGCCAGATTGCAAAAGTTATCAATCTTTCAACTAAGATGCATTATAAGGTCAGAATAGAAAGGATAACTGAAGCCATGCTGCCACCTTGTGAATTGGAACAACCCCTGGATATGTCAAGTCCATCATCTGGCATTGTACAGCACCAGATGCAGCCTAGCCAATAGAATAAAGCAGGATCAGAATCAAAAGTAGGATTCCATTAGAGATAGTTAAAGATTGATACGCCTGAAGTAACTCGAGGGTTCACTTAAAAGTCAATTTCCAGGTTATCAGCACGACCATCTTTGATGATGAAATAAATTCATTGCCTCTTAAACCAAAAACAAAAAGGAAAGAGAAAAAAGAAGACAGACTCTAGATTTTGAGTTTGAAGCACAACAAAATGATGATAGACAAACGAATTTCAACATTTGAAAACAGCATTAACAATTTGGACAATGCAGTTGTTAACTTCATTCTGAGTTTCCATATTCATTGTGAATTTAACAATCAGCAAGTCAAACATATGTGGGCCTATACAAGCACAACAATAGCCAATTTGCTCCAATAGTGGAATTGAAAGGAAAAAAAAATTCTTTAAATCTTGGGCTGTATACGATGCGAGAATCATTTACACTCTAATGCCTACGCAAACAGGGCATATGTTAATAGGAATCGTGTCCTGAAAACATAAAAACCAACTCTGATAAATTATCTTGAGTAGAAAAGCTGTTTACAAAGTTTAAAACAGAGCAAACAATTTATCACGCTGAAGCATATCATACGGTGAATTTTTCACACGTCCAATCAATATTTAAATGCATTACGAATAAGACTACTAGAGTCCAACTTTGTAGAGTTCTCGCAACATCCTTCAAGGCTGTAATCCGTACTATTTTCTTAGGCAATTCCAAATTGGGTCTTTCGAGAAAGTTTGTGACAATAAATTTAACAGGAGAACTAGTTTCTCCAGGACGTCATGTAGTACAAGGAAAACGCCCCAAGAGATAATATTCTTCCTGGATACGTAAAGGAATGGAAGCAATCCTTCAGCCTTAGTGTAGCGACCCAGCAAGGGAATGAGATACAGATTTCACTCAATCCAGCGAGCAAGAAATGGAAGAAGGTAAACAGATACCTGTCTGAGAGTGTAATATAAGTTATATAACACGCAAAACAAAACCCAAAGTTACCTCCTCAATGCGAGAGAGATTCAGCTGAAGTCTATTGTTGATCCAATTCAAAATCTCATTCCTACCGACAAAATAGGCACTGTCCATAATGCCTATACTCGACGCCATTTCTGGTAAAATCCCAGAAGACTTATCCTTCAGGAGAGCCCACGGAGGGGAGTGGGGTTGGGAATGGAAGAAGGTAGAAGAAGAAGAAAAGGACGATGACTACGGAGACTCGTGCAGAGGGAGGGGTCAAGATTTAGGGACGAAATATTAGGAATGGTGAAACAAATTTAGGGTAAAATGGGAATGCAGCAAAAGGGAATTGAACGGTGAGTGAATAATTGAGAATGCCGAATGAAAGAGAACGAAATAGGACACGAACACGAAACCAAGAGAAAACCCAGACTCCACAGTCCCGCTGCCAATTCACGTATTCACTCCACTCACCATTGACGCAAAAGTTAACGCATGGACAGGTGGGAATCCAATCTTTTCCCTTAAAGAGTGAGAATTTAATAATAATTAGTAAGCAGTTTGCTCGTTTTCATTTGAATTTGATGATGTCATCCTCCTATTTTGGTGCCAAATGACAAGGAAAAAGATTTCATTTTTGAAAATACGAGTATCATATTACTGTTGAGGAGGGGGGGTGTTGAATCCCGTTGATTCTTTTACATCAGCTCGCACGCAGGGGTGGAAACAGGATCAGGTTAAATTAGGGTTTGTTTTTCACAGGCCTAACATGTGAGTTTTCATGCATTTTTTCAGTCTAGGTTTTGCCGATCAAAATTTTGCCAATCAAAAGTTTGGCCTGGCTTAAACTTATTAACAAGACCTGTAATATTAAAAATTTTAAAATGCATAATAAAAAATATATAGACTAGTAAAAAAATAAAAAATACATAATACATAATAATTATTTTTTAATCTTATCTTTTATTTAATTTTTAATATCATAAGTACTATTTTAAATCTTAATTATAGTTAATATTATTGAAAATAAGTTATAATTATACATTAAAATTTAGAATAGAACTACGTATAAGTATAGAATGAAAACTAAAATTAAGACAAATAAATAGGAAAAAATTATTAACTTTACAAAGAATCTAGGGATATCATAATTTGATTAACATAACACACAAATGAATTAATTTATCAATTCTTCCCCCTTTTTTTAGCTATCCTTCTAGTATAAATTTTTTTAATTAATTTTTTTACTATTTTATCTATGTTTTTAAAATTTATTGACATTACTATTTTAAATTGTATTCTCATCTTCACTTCCAAAATATATTTCAAAATTTAATAAGCATTAACTACGTATAAAAAAATAAATTAAAAGAGAATATTGGAAATAATAGTATCAACTAAATTTTTATATTATAATAATTATAAATTTATAATAGATTTAGGTCGGCTTAACCTTAGTCTATTTATATTTTTAAATAGGTTAAGTTAGTTCAGGCTAAATATCCACAGGTTCTACAAGCCATCCACCCTCGCAAGAAATTCTTAAGAAGGCTCCATATTTAATTTATTTCCGTGTGTTTGTGTGGTGACTTGTGTCTTGGTCGGCCAATAACATTAGGGGTGGGGACAAACCCGTCCCGGTCCCGTCCCACTTCCCCCTTTTTTTTTAAAAAAAAAGATAACATAATTTTTTATATGAATTTTTTTATATTATAATACTTATTTTTTATTGAGCTTTTAAAGATAAAAACATTATAAAAAAAATATTATGTAGAAAGCTTAATTATATAGCATAAAAAAAGTGTAAAAATAATACCGTAAAAAAAATATCGTAAAAAAAACACTATATAATGACTTTATGAATTATTTTATTGAGGAAGGAGATTTTGTTAAGATAATACTACAACTTAAGAGCTACAAATCACCATAAAAATAAGAGTTATTATTAATAAGTAAATTGAATAATCTAATAATAATTATTAATAAATAATTTTTAAAAGAAAAAAAAATCCCGGGACGGGACGACCCCGTCCCGCGTCCCGTCCCGTCCCGTCCCGTCTCGTCCCGAACTCACCGGGACCGGGACAGAATGACCGGGACGGGACAAATTGAACACCCCTAAATAACATACCGCTATATTTTTTGGTTGTTTCGTTAGCTGATTATCCAAAAGGCTTAACAGTAACACACGCGCTCAACAATGCTTTTGCTGGTTTTAGTAAAAAAAATCATACCTTTTTGTCGTTAACCACAATTAAAAACAATGTTTGCATTGAAGGAAGTGATACTGATGCAAACCTAATCTTGGGGGCAGGGGCCGAACTTGGCAAGCTTTCTATAACTTAGAAACTATACACTTTTTATTCATTATTAACCCGATAATCAGCACTTTTTAATTTGGTTTATAATTCAAAATTTACTTGTTCTAATTTGACTGGAAAAAAATTAGATCTAAATTGACAAAGTGATTTTTTTATATAATATATTGATCACGAGATAAAATATTATTTTATATATCTTTTATAAAACCAAAAAATATTTTCAAGTTCTTAAATTAAAATGTTGAACTGAGTGATATAGGAAAAAATGTATTTAATTATAGTTATAACTATAAAAGTGACGAATTTTTGTAAAACGAGGTGTTTCTCGGCAAAAAACGAGAGAGAAATTACTCTGAGTTAACGTCTGGCAAAAAAAAAAAATTAGTACAGGTAAATGGGTATAAACGTTTAAAAGCTGCATGGGCCAAAGGGTATTTATAGTATGGGCTACCCAAAGAATGTTGATAAATGGGCTTCTATCCCATAGTGGGCCATAAGCCTAAAATTCCTCTGCTGGGAATTAGGGTTTTGGCATTCGGGTGCCTTAAAAGGATGCAGGTGCGCACTTCTTCCGTCTTGGTTGGATTGGATACTTAGGGCGCCACAGGAAAGAAGCCTGAGAACGTGACCTGACGGCTCCGACGAACAAGAGCCATGGTTCACGTTTCATTCTACCGCAACTGTAAGTCTCTCTTAGAATGATCGCTTTTTTTCCATGCGTGTTGCTGTGAACTTTAACAATGTTCACTGATTTGTTCCTTGAACAATGCTTGCTTCTGGTTAATTTGAAGATTGATGTTCTCCCGATAATTTGCAATTGTTTTGTAGTATGGTATTTAACTTTTTTCACCATTATTGAACCAAATTTTTTTTTTGAATCTGGTCATTCTTATGTAAACATTCCGAAAATATTTGGTGATCAATTTATAACATATCCCATTCTTTAATAGATGGGAAGACCTTCAAGAAGCCTCGCCGTCCATATGAGAAGGAGCGTTTGGATGCTGAGCTGAGGCTTGTGGGAGAGTATGGACTTCGCTGCAAGAGGGAGCTGTGGAGGGTTCAGTACGCTCTGAGTCGTATCCGTAATAACGCAAGGGAGCTTTTGACCCTTGATGAGAAGAACCCACGTCGGATCTTCGAGGGTGAAGCTCTTCTGCGTAGGATGTTTCGTTATGGGCTTTTAGATGAGAGTCAGAACAAGCTCGATTACGTCTTGGCTTTGACCGTGGAGAACTTCCTTGAGCGTCGTCTTCAAACACTTGTGTTCAAATCAGGGATGGCCAAGTCAATTCATCATGCTAGGGTCCTCATCAGGCAGAGGCATATAAGGTTTTCTATCTGCCCTATCTCTTTTAATCCAGTTGAAATATTAGTGTCAAGCAATTTTGCTAGTGTGGTTAGTTGGAAGATTTGAATAGTAGGGATTGTAATATCTGCTATGCAATGCCTTCATAATGCTGGGAGTTCAGATATTCTTCCCTGCCGCAAAATAGCTGCCCTGCTTGTGAGACTTGTGGTTTAGTGGTCTCCTATTTCTGCCAACTAATTTGAAAAATCTTTTTTTGTTTCTTGTATGATATTAGGAGTTTTGTGTTTATTACTTGGGAAGCTTTAAGATGTGTTAGGGTTTTAAGGTTATGCACGGGAGTGCCAGAGTTTACTTACGATTGGTCCAGCTTGTGGTGCTTGAGTCTTTGATGGATAAGTAAAGATTAAAGTCAATTTGTCTATAAGTTACTGTGCCCTCAAATTTTTTTCTTTTTTCGGTGATACATTGTGCCCTCAAATTTTGAATTATGGACTTTGTTCAAGAAGGGTTAGATGTTGGCATACTTAGAGAATTGCTACTTTTCCTATTTGGTAAAATGCTTCCTTTTTTATTAATGGATGCTAACGAAGTCATTTGCTTCTAAGTTCTAATTTCTAATCTTTTTGCTTCTGTATCCATGACTCAGTTTTCGTATGAATAAAATTTCCCTTTGCGCAGTTAATCTTAGTTTATAGTGACTCTGATGAATGCACATCTATTGTTGCAATCTGTTTTCTTTTTTTCTTTTTTTTCTTTTGTTTTTTTTTTTTGGCTGCCTTTGGAAATTAATTTCTATGTCTATTTGGCTTGTCAGGGTTGGGAGGCAGGTTGTGAACATCCCATCATTCATGGTGCGAGTTGATTCCCAGAAGCACATTGACTTTTCACTTACAAGTCCATTTGGAGGCGGACGTCCTGGAAGAGTGAAGAGAAGGAACCAAAGGGCTGCTGCCAAGAAGGCTGCTGGCGGAGATGGAGATGAGGAGGATGAGGAGTAAATTATGGATCTATCCTTTTGCTAGCACTCTTAGATCTTGTGTCAGTTCTGTGTCGTTAGTGTTTTTAGTTTATTGCATGATTCAGTGTCATATTTTACAATCCTCCTTGTTTCTGGTTTGAAGAAAGCTTTGCCCAAGTTATGTTATTGAACAATTTTTTTCGGTAAAAGGAACGTTATCTATCCCAAATCTACAAGTTTTGCTCAAAATTCCTAGACTCGAGGTCACTGATTTGTCTAATGGCGTCAGCACCCCACTAATAAGTTGTAGCTTCTGATTTAAATCGATGGTTTACTTGTTTGTGGAATATCATGATATGGTTTATGCCCATTGTTAGGGGATCGCCAGTTGCAACTAGAAGGGTACGTGTAGGCCATTGGGATTAATTAATTGATTTCGCTAGTTTGCAATGGAGATTACTGTTTATCACTTTATTGTGGGTTTTGATATTCTTGGTAGTTATATATTTAGAATAGCCGACGAGGGAATAGCCAATTAAACGTGTGATAAAAGCAGTTCATTGTTAATCCAAGATTCACTGATGTTTTAGACGTTAGCCGTATCAAGGGAATGGTTCAGGTTCAAGTTTCAATGGTTGGACAGGTTTTATGATTAACCAGAACAGCTGACGAGTAGTTATATAGATGGCTGGCTAAAGAAAGCTCACATGTTCCCATTCGAATTCGATGGTTGGGATGCCAAATATAAACACAAAAATACTCAACCAGGAAATTGACAGTGGTGATTATCTACAAATATGGTCAATCCAATCCAGTAATTCAAGGATGAGCAAAAGTGCACTGACCTTATATGGGCTTTCTTAAATCTATCACGACCTGCTGCTCTTCCGTGCGTTCTCTACAAGTCGACGGCTAATCAGTGGACTCCTATAGTACCATCCATCGA